AATAAGCATTGTTTCGTTATTATTAACAAAAAAGGAAACCCCTGTTGAAGTTCTCAAGTTTATCGCTACACTTAAATTCGCACCAAACCTCAACATAGCATTAAGAATCCTACTTACATTGCCAGTCACTGTGGCTTCAGGGGAAAGAAGCTTTTCAAAACTAAAAATAATAAAAAATTATCTCAGAACGATGCAGACGCAAAATCGTCTTAATGGATTGGCAATGATAGCTATAGAACACCAAATTAGTGACAAATTAGACTTGAAATCACTGGTTCGTGAGTTTGCCGAAAGAAAAGTTAGAAAAAGGGCATTTTAATTACTTTGGTTAGTTAGAATTTATTTATAATATTGGATATTAGTTTAGTTAGCATTACTACATTTTAATTTTTGTTATTTTGCCTTAAGTGCTAAATTGCTGATCTTGTTATCTGATGATTGCGTCTTTAATAAAACTTTTTTTTTTATTTTTTTTTATTTTTTTTTATTTTTTATTTTTTTTTATTTTTTTTTATTTTTGTTTTCAATGTTTTCTTGACTTTCTGATATGGCCGCATGAGATATACTTATAAAAACGGGGGGGGGGGGGGGCGCAAAATTAAGGTTTTGCCCGGAGCGCCAAAATGTCTAGTGCCGGCCCTGCTGTATCTCAGAAACTATGCGCCGTGAATTTAGCGAAAAAATTGTCAACGTACCTACGCTGGAAATTATTTTCGAGTTTCTGAGTTCACCGTTAGATTTCAAAATGCGTATGACCAATGATAAACGAGTAAATAGTGAAAACTGAGTAAAATTTTGTTTCCGAATATGATTTTGATATCTTCTAAATAACTTTGACTTTTTGTTAACGAGTTTTTATCAGTGATAATGAGCGTTGCGCCCTCTAGCTGTAAACTTGAAAATAATTTTCAGCGATTACTAATTTTGTTAAAAATAAAAAAATATTACAATAAATTGTTCTGTGGATATGGCCAGCGTCCTTTCTTATTTAGACTCTGTTGCAAAGAATTATCGCTGCTTATAAGATTCTTTACAATTATAGTTAAAACTAAACATTTTTAAAGTAAAACGTTACCTATAAAAATCTACAAATAAATAACTGTACCTAAATACGTTTTAAATTAATTTTTGTGCGCCTAGGTGATCTATAACAACATTCATATTTGTGGAATATCTAATACAAATATAATTATTTTATATATGATTTTATGTTCAATTTGTTACACTCTGTAAATTTAGTGTCTTATCCACTAGAGACATTTTTACATTTTGTACCGGCAGTTGGAATTAAATGGTTGTAGAATCAACATATTGTGTTTAATATAATCGACCCATAATTTGTTAGTTGCAATCACCCTCAAATTAGGGTTAAATATATTGCAATATTCATAACCATAACCTAAAAATCAAATTACCTGTGGAACAAAAGATTAATATGTAAATAGTCCGTTTGTTTACAAACAAAACACGTTGAACCATGTTGATAATAGGTATGACCTATTTAATCACATAAATAATTAAACGAACTAAAAAAAAAACAGTTTTCCCAAAAAAACAGCTGCAACCAACCAAACTCGAAGTACTTTTATGAATGAAACAAATATCGTCAAACGTAAATGCGCTTTTGCCAGACATAAAAATTTGTCCGATGATTAAAAGACAAACAGTATTGCAAGCTAATGTTAATAAGCTAATAAGCTAATATTAATACTGTTAAAAACACCGTAAACTTGGCATCAATGTTCAATCAGATTATTGTATTTCTGCCAAGGACGCCAACGTTGAAGCTTCAGAGCTTCAGAAATTTTGTAAATAATCCTATCTGTCTTGGTTATATATCTATGGATTCAACTGTTACAGGTAAAGTTAAAATTATTCGTAATTTGAAAGAAATCTCTATCGACTCTTTTAGGTATATCTGTTAAAGATTTAAGGAGGTCCTTTCGCCACACCTCTCGCCTCAAATGTTAAAAAAAAAGTTATTAGATTATGACTAAAATTAATTTTTTTCTAATAGTTGAAGTCCTTATTTATCTAATACTGAACTTTTAACTATACCTTACCTTGCAAATTTTTGAGATTTTTTTTTTTAAATGTGAGTATTTGTACAGTGCCTCACGAGAAAGTAAGTCCTCAACAACAATTCTCGAATTATACTATTATTTATTGATTAGATGGAGTAGAAAAAAACTAAGAATAAGGTTTTTGAAATATTTAGATTTTGTTTTATACAATAAAATATATATAGTAAACCGTGGAACTTATTGAGAAATTAATATTAAAAAATCACAAAAAATTTTCAAGTAACCTAGTTGAAAATTTTTTGTGATTTTTTAATAATAATTTCTCAATAAATTCCACGGTAACCTATATATTTTATTGTAAAAAACAAAACCTAAATATTTCAAAAACCTTATTTTTAGTTTTTTTCTACTCCATCTAATCAATAAATAATAGTAAAATTAATTATAATTCGAAAATTGTTGTTGAAGTCTTACTTTCTCATAAGACACTGTACAAACACACACATTTTTAAAAAAAAATTTTCTCAAAAATTTGCACGGTAAGGTATAGTTAAACGTTGCCGGAGGGGCTAGCTGCGAGCTTAGTGTGCATCCACATACTCGCAATAGTTAAGCAGTGATTCTCCGGTCACGTCGTGGATGGGTGACCGCTGGGAGGTTCCACCATGGGCCGTGTCACTATGGGACTCATCCGACTAGCGGTTAACCACCGACGACGTGGAATGAATGACGATGAATCAGGGAGTGAATTGTTGAATGAGAAAGTAGACGGATTAGGGTGTAGCACGGGAGATCCGAAGGGTGTAAAACTAAAACTAAAAAAAAAAAAAAAAAAAAAAACTAAAAAAAAAAAAAAAAAATAGTTAAACGTTCACTATTAGATAAATAAGGACATCTACTATTCGAAAAAAATTAATTTTAGTCATAATCTAATATTTTTTATTTAACATTGGTGGCGAAAGGACCTCCTTAAATAATGTTATTTCATAATAAAGTTCCTCGCCAACTACATCCTTTGATTCTCCTAGTATAATGGTCAATTCAAGCTCAACGCATTTTTGTTTAAACGTGGCATGTAATGTTACAAAACCGCATTAAAAAGGCGCTATATATTACATTGCAATAAAAATTATTGCAAGCTTTTTCCGCCTTATACGAACTTGAGGAAAAACAGGCTCTTATATATTCAAAAACAAAATGTATTTAACTGGTTTTGCCTGCAGTCGCCCTTAAGTTTAGCCGCGTTGTGCCTGCACACCTCTAAGAACGGCCCTTGCCACGGGTGATCTACCGTCAGGGGCTCGATTCTCGAGTTCATTGGAAAATTTTCCCATGGGAAAAGATTCCACTACTTATATTCCCATGGTAATAGGTTATGCAATTCTCAAACGTGTCGGAATAGACATTCCCATGGAAATAGTAGTTTCACGTATGTCTGATATTAAGTTCACGAATATTTCGAAACAACCAATAACATTAAAGATATTTTAAAATTTACTCTTAGCAATATTTGTATTTGTTGTGGTTTTTGGGTATCCGATTACCTGCCGAGCCTCCGCGCTGGAGCAGGTGCCGTGCCGAGCAATCGTTATCATGATCGAGAATAAGTGAAAATATTCGATTACGTATAATAATTAAAACTTGTCGAGTTATTCTTAGTTTTTCTTTTCTCATGTTGAAAAAAGAAAAGGTAGCTTTTGTATGGAAGAGCAACGAAAGTTTTGAGAAACTAAGAAATTCTTTCATTAACGAAAATAATAAAATTTTCGAAAAGGTCTTATTAAATTTACTACACTCAATTTGTGTTATTTGTCAGTCCCTTAGCAGCTCCCACAATTTCTAAATGATTTAGGAAAATCAGTTTATACAGTTTCTCAGTGAAAGAGAATTAAAAATAATATACCTACATAAATAAAATAATATCAATAATACGCCAAAAAAATGATTTAACTACAATTTCACTAAAAATCCAAGATATCCAATAATTTTTGGTTATGTCTTAGGCTTTCGCGTGGTCTTTCGTCAAATTTTCGACTTTAATGCGCAAACTCTAGTACAATTCCCATTGGAAAACACAATTTCCAATGCTCGTAAGCAGGGGAATATTTTCCCATACTTCTCATTGGAAAATATTCCACCGCTTATGTCGAGAATACGAAAACTGAATTCCCATGGGAAAATTTTATTTTCCCATGGGAATAAAAGTCGAGAATTGACCCCCAGGTAATTGCTTGTTGCTTTTCCATTGCTTCGCGTTGTCTCTCTCTCTCTGTTAAAAATGTTCTGTATATCTATCTGACTTTTTCGTACAATCTTTTTGTAAAATAAAGTTGTTTTCATTTTTAAATGTTAAATTTTATTCGAGAGGTAAACCACTAAATTTAAAAACGTACCCGTATTTCGGAAATCACCTAAAATTCGTAAGATTTCAAAGAAATCACCTTCGAATTAATATGATTTCGGTAATTTCACCGAAATAAACCTTAAATTTATAAGATTTCGGTGATTTCGCTGAAATCTCACTCATTTTTACACGATTCGGTGATATCAGCGAAATCTTCTTGAATATTCAAATGATCTTTATTTAAAAAAGCTCTTTTATTGATTTTTGGTCGACATTTTTTTATTTATTTTTAGGCTCTTCACCTTTCTTTTGATTTAAGGAATATTCTGATATATTTTCAAAAATTGTATTTTATACCAAATATAAAGCACAACGAAATTACATTGTTTTTGACCATTACACAGAAAATTCGATTAAAAATGTTACTTCTCAAAAAGAAAGTCCTTTGCCCCTAAAGCGATATTGCCACATTGACAAAAGTCTTAGATTCTAACGATTTTTTGAACGGCACGCTTTAGCCGACATCGACAAAAAGTATTTAGGTCTTCTATACTTGTTATAATGCTAAAATAATGACGAATAGACAAAAATAAAAGCAATAGCGAATTATTTTGTTTTTATTTTATTTTCAGGGAATGAATTTCAGCCATGAGTAGTTTGTTAAAACAATCATTGAATGGAAATATTCACAAGATTAGAGAATTTGAATTAGAAAAAGTAAGTATTTTAATAGCTAGTAGGCACATTGCATGTATATTGTTTTTTTGCGAAGAATCAACTAAATATCAATTAAAAAAGATTGTTTTACATATTCATGCTTAAATCCGGAAATACACTGCAGTTAGATCTAAAGGAGACCTTGAAAAAAATTGCGCATGTTGGTCATATTTCTTCTAATTATTTTTTAAATGAGAGTTTAGTTTTTATTTAGATAATGCATTTGAAGATATCAGGTCATGACTCGTATACCTGTCTTCTTTGGCCACGGCTTACTTAAGTAACATATTTCGTGGATCACAAATTAAAATTCATTCATTAACATTTATTAACATTCATTAACATTTATTAACATTCATTAACATCCATTAACATTCATTAACATTCATTAACATTCATTAACATTCATTAACATTCATTAACATTCATTAACATTCATTAACATTCATTAACATTCATTAACATTCATTAACATTCATTAACATTCATTAACATTCATTAACATTCATTAACATTCATTAACATTCATTAACATTCATTAACATTCATTAACATTCATTAACATTCATTAACATTCATTAACATTCATTAACATTCATTAACATTCATTAACATTCATTAACATTCATTAACATTCATTAACATTCATTAACATTCATTAACATTCATTAACATTCATTAACATTCATTAACATTCATTAACATTCATTAACATTCATTAACATTCATTAACATTCATTAACATTCATTAACATTCATTAACATTCATTAACATTCATTAACATTCATTAACATTCATTAACATTCATTAACATTCATTAACATTCATTAACATTCATTAACATTCATTAACATTCATTAACATTCATTAACATTCATTAACATTCATTAACATTCATTAACATTCATTAACATTCATTAACATTCATTAACATTCATTAACATTCATTAACATTCATTAACATTCATTAACATTCATTAACATTCATTAACATTCATTAACATTCATTAACATTCATTAACATTCATTAACATTCATTAACATTCATTAACATTCATTAACATTCATTAACATTCATTAACATTCATTAACATTCATTAACGTTATTCATTGCCGTTCATTAATGTTTATTAACTTTAATTTTCCTTCATTAACGTTCATTAAAATTCTATTATCATTTATTATCGTTTATTATCGTTCATTATCGTTCATTATCGTTCATTATCGTTCATTATCGTTCATTATCGTTCATTATCGTTCATTATCGTTCATTATCGTTCATTATCGTTCATTATCGTTCATTATCGTTCATTATCGTTCATTATCGTTCATTATCGTTCATTATCGTTCATTATCGTTCATTATCGTTCATTATCGTTCATTATCGGTCATTATCGTTCATTATCATTCAATAACATTCATTATTATTTGTAATTTTCAGGTAAACCTAGGAGATGAATTCGACATTCTTCAAATAGTGGGCGAAGGCTGGTTTGGTAAGATACTTCTCGTCGAACACAAGGCTACCGACACCGAAATGGTCCTCAAAGCCCTTCCTAAACCGTACACGGCCCTCAAGGATTTCTACAGGGAGTTCCATTACGGTTTACACCTCGGAGTCCATAAAAACATCATCACTGCGTATGACGTGTCGTTTCAGACTGCTGGGTTTTATGTTTTCTCGCAGGAATATGCGCCGCTAGGTAAAAGTCACGTACTCTGATTACTAGCAACCTCCGAATGACAGTTATATTTAATGTAGATGTCAAAGCCAGAACGTATGCAACCAACAAATAAGCTTTTTAGAACCGTTTAATCATTAATTAAAAAAAAAAAACACTAAATTTAATTCGAAAAGTAATCTTATAAAACGTACCTAAATATAAAAACAAAACTTTCGCATTGACATTTGACACTTCGCAGACATTGGTGGCAAAATGGCGGACTAGTAAAATATGTTACAAAGTACATACATTAGTTGTTCTTAGCTATTTTTTATGATTATATTGGAATGCATTCCTTGGATATAAATGACAAAAACATCATGATAGAATTCGAATAACGACATTTTCTGGCGTTTCTAAATCCTTTAGTTCTGATTCGTATTGCTTTGAAGTCGAATTAAATCTATTTTCGAGAACAATTAAACTAAAAATACATCGAGATAAATGTACTTCGATATGAACGGAATGTGTTTTTAGAACTTTAATTGCATCCCTGTGCATAATCCGCAAAAGTAATGTATTTAAAAATAAATCAAAAACAACCTTAGAAATATAATTTATAAGGTTTATAATTATTTTTATGTAGGTAAATATATTTTTTTAAGAGATCAAAATAGCTACATTATTCGATATAAATAAAGCAATTGTTAAAATTATCTTGGTAGTTTCAACAAACCAAGTAACACAATTTGCAGGATTAAATATGAAATTCCTTATAGAAGGGTCCTCTCCCAATAAAATTTGCACACACTACACGCCACAAATATATTAATAACAATTGTCCTTATTTATCAACCAAACCGATATGAATATATTAAATTTGTTGTACTTTTACTTGACTCAACGAAACAGGGGGGTGCTTATGTTCTTCTATTTGAATTATTAATTATTTTATTCTCAGTTGATTAAATGGATGAATTATTTGAAAAGTTACTGGTTTAATTATAAATTGATTGATCGGTTTGGCACTCAGGGTTGATACCAAAATTAAGAATAATGTTCTCCTATATTAGCTTGTAATTCTTGTTATTGTTATCTTAATTATTTAGGTTTACTGTTGTACAGTAACATAAATAAATATATATCTGTTCTTCAGGTGACCTGACTTCGAACGTTTCAGAAATAGGCATAGGCGAACTTCACACGAAAAGGGTTGCCAAACAATTAGCCGCAGCACTTGATCATATGCACGCCAGGGACCTTGTACATCGCGACGTCAAACTAGACAACATATTAGTCTTTAAATCGGATTTTTCTAGAATTAAATTATGCGATTTTGGCGAAACCAGACGATCGGGTACCGTGGTACTCAGGAGAAACGAATGGTTGCCGTACGCAGCGCCTGAAGTACTGTTGGTACCAACAGATGGAACCTATATGTGAGTATTTAGATGCCCTTTCTTGAAACCATACCGTTTGCCTTCTTCATATTTATGAATGCCAAATGCAAATCCCTTTGTTTCTATATACTTTTCTACAACTTTTGTCTCACCACAGTAAACGCTAAATCTAAAGAACCAGCGCAAATGCTCAAGTTCGTTTACTTAAAAATCGCCACATCCATTCACAATTTGAACCTTGTCCTTGTTTACGGTCAGTAGCGTAACGACTAGATCATTGTTTGTTTCTTGTTTCTGTGTTTTGATTAACGTGACTGGTTTTATTTTTGATAATGTCTTCTATATTGTGGGTGAAAAAAAGCGCAGATCTGTTATTAACGGACAAAGTCGTGAAGTAATATACAATGTTTTTAAATATTTTGACGCAACAAAAAAGGAAGGAGTTACTTTAGATGATATCAAACTTCAAACTGCACAAGCAACAGGTAAACATATTCTGTAGTTTATTTGCAATTAAACTTGCGTAATTTTTTATATTTTTTTGTATTTTACACACATATCTATGCATTTTATTTTTGACTAATATTTTATATTTAATTTTTTAAATTTATCTTCTGTTTCTAAAGATTTTTGTTTCCTAATAAATGTAAAAAAAATACTAAATTTAACATTAATATAATATTACGTTTTTACAGGTGTTTCTTATACTACTGTTAAAAGAATTTTGAAGGAAGGTAAACAGTCAATGGAAGCAACTGGAAAAAAGACATTTTCCACACCTAGGAAAAACTTCGTCAAAAAATCAACCGCTACGAATGTCCCAGAATATCAATTGAGGGACATTCGAAGAATAATTTACGATTTTCATATAACAGAAAAGTCTCGTGTTACTGTTAAAAGGTTAAATAATAAAATTAAGTCAAAATAGACCAATCGTTTATTTAGATGAAACATATATCACTTACAGATCAGTGACATATATACACAGCGGACATACTTCTTCCAAGAATTGGACAGACGATTCAACAAAAGGTTTGTTTTCTGTTATTTCTAAAGGCCAAAGGCTTATTATAGTTCACGGTGGGGGGGAAATGGGTTTTATCAAAAATAGTTTGTTGATATTCAAATCAGGGACCAAGTCTGGAGATTATCATTCCGAAATGAATTCGAAAAATTACGGCAGATGGTTAAGAGAAATACCTAATCTTCCACCTAATTCAGTAAATGTTTGTGATAGTTATCACAATGGACAGACAAATCGAGCACCTAATTCCAATTCTTTGAAGAATGATTTGATCGAATGGTTGACAAAATACAACATACCTTTTAATTCAACAAGTTTGAAACCAGAGTTCTATGAACTGATTAAATCTCATAAGGACCGACATGTAACATATGCATTTGATGAGTTGTGTCGAGAATACGACCACACCGCTTTACGGTTACCCCCATATCACCCCGACTTCAACCCTATCAAAGTGTTTTGGGCAACTGTTAAGAATAATATCAGTCAAAGGAATGTTACCTTTAAATTAGAAGACGTAAAACAATTAGCAGAAGAGGAATTTAACAAAATCGGTATGGAGGAATAGAAAAAGAGATGCGATCATGTTATAAAGGTAGAAGATAAATGTTTTGAAAGAGAAATACAAACTGATTTATGTTCAGAAATTAATCCTATCGTCATTAATCCTAATGAGGATTCCAGTGATGACAGTGACGAGTCTTCTTCCAACGAAGAATCTGACGAAGACATATGAACATTATTTATTTGTGATTTACTGTTTACGTTGTTTGTATTTACTTATAGGCTATATAGTTAAGTTAACAACACTTTAAGTTTCCAAAAAAAAGCAAACTTTATTTATTTAAAAAATATACAAAAATGGATCTTTAATTAACAATGTTTATCGTAAGTGATTAAAATAAAAAGAACGTTGATTCCCACGTTGACATGGTATTTATAATCTCGGGTTCATTGTCGCCAAGGTGCAAAGCGCTGACTTTGCTGACGAGGCACTCCGGGCATTGAACGGTGGGTTTCTATCACATTTCTCCTCCCTCCTTTGGTCCTGGCTTCGTCCTCGAAGTCTCTACGAGTAGCTCCTGAAGAACCTGGATTTGTGCTGGTTGTAGTTTGGGCCCAAAAAGAATTTTTGATATTCTTTTCTTTTTCTTTACTGCGATAGTAAAAAGGATGGCTGAAACAGAAATTATAAGGACAAGGGCGACACTGCTGAGTCCTGTTGAAATTTGTGGCATAAGTGCTATTGGCTCTATTGGTTGGAGTTGTCCGTGGCTTTCTGGAATATTCAATTTTTCAATTTTTAATTTATGTTCTGGAATTAGTCTAATTGGGATGACTTCTGGAATGGCGATTTCTTGAATAGTTTTCTTATCATAGTGAATTCCTTCTATGTCGATAGGTTCATCTGACAACAGGATGCTGCTTTTTCGGATTTCTTGTTGATTTATTATTATTGGGTGGACTATTCCCAATAAAATTACTTTTCGGGTTTCCTGTGAAAAGTTCTCTGTGATCAATGTTTTGGTGCAATTTTGAACATTAGGGATGAGGCATCTGGACTTCACGGGCTTGGCACATATAGTGTAATCTGCTTGGCCGGTACATGTTTCATACCATTTGCTATTGGCATAATAGTGTGCAGGAGGCAAAACCATTATGTGATCATTATTAGGGATAGGATAAATTCTAAAGGTGGGGTAAGCGTTAACGTGGAGGATTGGGATTTTGAGAATTATGAGCATTGTATTGGGTGTGACGCAAACTAGAGATTTAGATGATTCGATAAGTTCATATGGGTGTTCGTCATCGACGAGTAGGGCATTTCTTGAGTAAATTTTTATAAGGTTTTCTTTTAAGTCCTCGAGTTCTTTAAGAGTAAATAATTCTATATTTGACAAATTTAAATGTGAAAGGGTAATTGTCCGAATAAGTTTCATAAGAAATTCGTTAATGTTTTGAAGATTTATTATTTCATTATGTAGGGTAATGTATCCATCAAAATCAGCTGATAATTTATTAATTGCTAGTAAAAGGGCTCTATTATTTTTAGTTACTTGTTCTAAAAGTTTATTGAATCTCGTATCAATAGATTGGCCAAATGAGATTTGATTATTAAATTTTTTTATTATTTCATTTTGTTTAACTTCTATTGCGGTAATGTGAGTCTTTAGTAAATTTAAGTCAGAGTCGTCAGGATTTCCGGTTATGTATTTTATAGTCGTGCCAAGAAAATTAAATAGTCCTTTTTTCTGTTTTCGTGTTATTTTATGTAGGTTGTCTTTTGCTTCACCATGTATGTGATTGTATTGAGTATTTAATAGAGAAAGTGGTCCAGTTTTTAATGAATTTTTAAAATAGTCGTTAAGGCTGATATCTAAAGTTTCTTCTAGTTTTTGTAGGTCAATGTGTAAAATGTGTCTATGATAATGTGAAATTTCTCGGGATTTGCCAATTTCTTCAGCGTAATATCCATTATTCGGAATCACTTGAATTTTGACAAGCTGTCCCTGACGTCCCAGGGAGAGGATTGTCCTGTAAAGAAGTATCGTCTTGAAAATTTTTATTTTTTATTTTTCGTATTCTTTTAGCAAATTTTAAATGAGTACTAGTGTCGTTTTGTTTCTTAGTTTTACCAATAATTTTTGTGTTAATTTGTTTTTTAGGGTGTATAATAGAATAAGGGGCATTTAATTTAGGCCTATGTTTTTTCTTAGTTACATAAAGGGTTTGTGTAAGATCTATTTCAGGTACGGTTTCGGCACTTTCGTTTTGTTTTTCTAATATTTTCTGTCTTTTTTCTTTTTGTTTGTTGTATAAGTCAGTTATGAAAGGACGAAGTTCATCCTTATGTCTTTGATTGTATGTTTCATACAGGGGAAGATCAAAATCAAAATGTATTTCTTCGGCATATGGTCCGTATAATATTGAAAAAGGAGAGTAATTTGTGGCACTATGAATTGATTGGTTATAGATTAATACTGCATGTGTAAATGTGTCGTCTAAGGGGTCTTGTGGGTTTTGATTTCGTAATGTTCTAAGTTTCTCAAGTAGGGTAGAGTGGAATCGTTCTACGGGGGAGTTTGATGATGAATTATTTACTGTGGTATAATGAATTTCAATTTTATGTAATTTCATAAATTCGATGACTAAGGCAGAATTAAATTCTTTGCCGTTGTCACATACGACTTTTTTGGGGTAATTGTGGTGAGAAAAATAATGTCTTAATTTACTTAATATTGAGATTGAAGTTTTATCAGGAATTTTATAACACTGAGCGTATTTTGAGAAAGAATCTACTATTGTCAGGTAAAGATTTTTATTGCACTGAAATATGTCTATGTGTATTATGTCAAAAGGTTTCTGTCCTAGTAAAGGGCCTAATTGTGGAAGTTTGTAAGGGTGTCTTTCATATTTATTTGTTAGACAAATTTCACATTTATTAATGAGGTTACAGATTGTTGTTTGCATAGAGGGCCAGTAAAATTGATGCCTTAAATGTTTATAAGTCTCTACTATGCCGTTATGATTTTCATTATGATACTTTTGTACACATTCTATTTGTTTTTGTTCGTTTTCGATGTCTTGTAATAATGTGTTGCAAAATATAGCTTTAACAGTTGTGTCTATGTATTCACGAAAATATTTACAAACAAAAGGTCTAAATTCGTGAGGTATTTTTATAGCAAATTTTTGATTTGGTCTTAGTAAACTTTTGAATGCGTCAGTAATTTCCATTATCCAGTCATCGGTAATTGTTACAGTGTGTCTGTGTTTGTTAAATAATTTTTTATAAGTTATGTCATACTCTTTAGATTGAGGGACAAAGATAATTTGATTTGTTGAAAGGTTAATGGGTTCTTCCGAAATCGGAATTCCCGCAATTGGATTTTCTGCTGCAGTGTGTTGCGTGTTATCAGTACTAGGGGATTGTCTATCGTTTAATTGTTCAAAAAATTCGTCGAGGTCAAAGTCATTCAAGTCATTAAGATTTGGGGGTTCGGCACACATAGAATTGCCGGTGAGTGCATTTATCTGTACTCGAGAAAGGGCGTCGGCTACTTGATTTTCTTTTCCTTTTTTGTATTTTACCTCGAAATTATAATCTTCGAGTTTTAATCTCCAGCGTGCTAATCTGGAAGTGGGATCTTTAATTTTATAAAGCCATACAAGGGGATTATGGTCAGATTCAACAGTGAAGTTTTGAGCGTATAGATAAGGGCGAAAATGTTTACAAGAATCGATTATTGCTAATAGCTCTTTTTCGGTTGTTGAATAATTTTGTTCTGCGGAGTTCAAAGTTCGAGAATAATATGCGATTGGGTGATTATCTTGTGTTAATACCGAGCCAATGGCTATATTAGAAGCATCAGTAGTTAGAACAAAATGTTTAGAGAAATCAGGGTATTGAAGAACAGGGGCATTGGATAATAGTTGCTTACATTTTTCGAAGCATTCGAGATAAAGTGAATTATTGGGGTCGATAACTGCTCCTTTTCGGGTGCAACGAGAAAATGGGGATGTAATTTTTGCAAAGTTTGGGATAAATCGTCGATAGTATCCTATAAGTCCTAAGAAGGATTTAATTTCTTTTAGTGTCTTTGGGAGTGGAAATTTCTGAATAGCCTCTAGTTTAGCGGGATTTGGTTTTATACCTTCGGGGGTTACTATATGTCCAAGAAAAGCTACTTCTTTCGTAAGAAATTCAGATTTGTCAAGCTGTACCTTTAAATTCGTTTTTTGAAATGTTTCAAAAATAGTTGCAATATGTACGAGGTGTTCCTGTAGGGATTTTGAAAATATAATTACATCGTCCATATAAACGAAACAAAATTTGTAAAGAAAAGGCCTAAGGACGTTATCCATTAATTTTTCGAAAGTGGCAGGGGCATTTTTAAGCCCAAATGGCATCCTCACAAATTCAAAGTGTCCGTGAGGAACTGTAAAGGCTGTTTTTTCAATAGAGTTGGGGTGAAGTTCGATTTGGTGAAATCCCTGCGCTAAATCAAGAGTTGTAAAATAAGTTGCTTTGCCTAAATTGTCTAAAATTTCATCAATTTTCGGCAGAGGATATTTGTCGTCAATTGTATTGTCATTTAATTTACGATAGTCTATTACCATACGGAATTTTTTCTGGCCGGAAGCGTCGGCTTTTTTTGGTACTATCCAAACAGGGGCTGAATAGGGTGAAATTGAGGGTCTAATTATTTTATTATCTAATAATTTATTAACTTGTCTGGTAATTTCTTCTTGCATTACATTCGGATGTCGAAATCCTCTAACATAAATAGGATTTTCATCCCGTGTCCTAATTGAATGCTTTATAGCTGAAGTAAAAGTTAAATCTGATTTTTCGTCATAAAAAATGTCTATATTTATTGCATAATTTTAAAATTTTTTCTTTTTCCTCTAAATTTAAATGTTAAGTACGAATTATTGAAGGGTCAAAATTTATCGGACCTTCTAAAATTTTATAGTTATCTAAGTTTTCTACTTGTATTGGTTCTAATTGTTCGGGGTTAGGGAGATATATGTCGTCTATGTAACCGTTTGTAACAGTGTGGATTGATTCGGGAATTTGTATGTTATTTATTTTAATTTCGGGGAAAAGTATTTCGCCACTACTTATATTAACTGGAATTTTGTTATATAAGGTGTCGAAAGGGATGATAATATTAAAAGCTCTTAATGTCAGTGTTTTAGTTTGGTAGTCTATTAATGCGCGTAAACGTTCTAAATCATAATTTCCAAGTAAAATATCAAAATGTTTACTCCAATCGGCAATTCTAGCATCGATAGTTTCGTATATGTTAAATTCTTTAAATAAAGGCGTTTTAATATTTGACAAAAATGTTTGAGTGATTTTCATTGACGTTAATGTAAATGGTTTTTTATATTTGTGAGTTGGATCAAAATATGTCGCGGCTTTTGGTGAAATGATAGTGTCTGAACCTCCTGAATCAATAAGAACTTTTAATCTTGTTTTAGGCATAATAAAATAGGGTAACTGGGGATAATTATGAATATTATTTAGATCTATTGAGGCGGTGGTTGTCCTTCTGAAAAACCGACCTGAAAATTTTCCTGGTGAAAATTTTCTGTACCGTCATCGTAGTTTTCTGTATCATTAAATTCAAAATTTCCGGGCATAGATTCGGAATTTTCCTCTCTGGAAGTATCTATATTAAAATTATGCGTCCTTCTAGTGGATAAACTCATAGGTTGATTTTTTGTAGTAATTGTTTGTACGCCACTCATGGGAGTGGGAGAACTTTGATGATTTTGGGAATTTCTAAATGATCTATTAAAATTTTGGGGGTTATTTCGGAAAGACGAATTATTGGGAAATGAAGATGAATTATTAAAATTTTGAGTGTTGTTTCTGAAATTAGAATTGTTGCCGAATTGTGGCGAATTATTAAAATTTTGATTATTTCTATAAGTAAAAGCATGTGGAGGTTTATTTTGTGAAAAGTTTGTGAAATTTGGTTGAAAATTACCCTGTGAGTGTGAAAAATTAGGTTTATTGTATACAGGCTTGTACGAGGTTTGTTTAATGGGATTAATTCTTTGTTTTGGATTTTGTTGACCTTTCAGGAAATTCATGTATTGTTGTTGACTCTTATGATTATCGTAAGTAATGCATTTTTGAAGGCCCTCTTCAAGACTTTCAATTCTAAAATGCGACAAATATTCACAATATGGTTCATTTATACCTGTACAAAAAGTTTTAAGGGCAATGCCTTTAAAATAAGGGGTTTTGAAATTTAATGTTTCAGGGTTGTCATTTAGTGATATGTGTTGCAATAAATCATTTAAATTGTCGCACACTCTTTGGTGATAATCGTCATATGTCTCGTTTGTTGTTTGTACCGTTGTAGATAACTGTGTCACTAAAATGTCTTCAGAACGTCTGTCGCCGTATTTTGCCAAAAGGGCAGGTCGAATTTCATTCCAAACTGTTTTATTAGTAAAATTTAAATAGTCTCTAGGTTCACCCTTGATACGAGAAGCAATATTAGCATTTAAAATAAATTCTTGTGGTTGAGTTAAATTTTGATTAGATAAGAATACAATTAAATTATCGACTGATTTAATAAATGTGGAGAGGTTATCTCCTGTAGAAAATTCAGGTAAAGTAGCACAAAGGCTAGAAATATCACTATTAGTCATAGGCATTTCGGGGCGAAGAACGTTTCGAAAATTTTCAGAAGGATTCTAAGAAAGTTGAGAACTATTCGCTTGATCAGAAATGTCGGTAGTCTCTAATTTGAGACCGGCTAATATAACGTGTAAGTTTTCTTCGGAAATATTATCTAAAGTGCTCATAAAGGATAAAGGAAAATTGTACTCACAAAAGGATGATCACTGAAGATGTCCTCTGCATGCTACTTCTTCCTCTCGTCCTAGGTTCGGTGGATTTTTCGTTAAACAACTGAGTTGACCAGGAAAAGTGAGTTTTCTGTACGAAGAATCCTGTTCGCAGCGCCAGTTAAGTTAACAACACTTTAAGTTTCCAAAAAAAAGCAAACTTTATTTATTTAAAAAATATACAAAAATGGATCTTTAATTAACAATGTTTATCGTAAGTGATTAAAATAAAAAGAACGTTGATTCCCACGTTGACATGGTATTTATAATCTCGGGTTCATTGTCGCTAAGGTGCAAAGCGCTGACTTTGCTGACGAGGCACTCCGGGCATTGAACGGTGGGTTTCTATCACATTTCTATATAATATAAAATTAAACATGTTATTGTTTTTCTTAAATTTACGTAAAATCAGAAGTTATTTGGACTATCCAGTTTTGAAATGAAGACCCGGTATAAAAAATTGGAAGGATATATTACTTCATACACATATTATTTCATATCTTGCTTATAAAAACATTAATGTCAGTTAAAATACAAAATACTAGACCACCAGAGCTCTCCTTAACCTAAAGTCGGCTTACCTAAAAATAATGATTTTTTAATTGACTATAGAATTATGTACTAATAATAACACTAAGCAATATGTATGAACAAGCATCATTCACTATTTTCAATTTATTTTATGTCTTAAAATATACGCGCCCCTGGTTTACAACTTTCTAGGTAAGCTACCAATTCTATTCATCGGTAGGCGTGTTCGTAGCATTATAAATGCGCGTCCTTGGTTCTTTAGATTTGGCGTTTACTGTACTTTCCTATTTAAAGTTGTTCATTAAAAAATATACTCAGATCTTAAAGCTACATCAAAGTTCGGTCCTCGATCCGCCGATTTTCATAGTTTCGATTGATGATGTTTAATAATAATGTTTCTAGGGCTCAAACGTCACACGATGTCTGGCAATTTGGCATCGTAATTTTCGTTTGCCTCACCGGTTGTCTGCCGTGGCAAAAAGCCGCCATGGATGATCCCAGATACGTCAGATATCTCTCCTGGCAGAATTCAAACATACCTTTAAAACGACAACCGAAACTGTTCAAATTAGTTTCTTCCAAAGCCCAGAGATTGTTTAAGAAATATTTAGAACCACGTCCGGAGAAGCGACCACATGGTTTGGCAGAAGTCTACAGGTTTTTAGAAGACAGATGGATGTCTAAAGGTATTTAAATTTGGTCATCTGTGACATTTATCATTCTATATTTTTCTCCAAAGGTATGGAAAAGACCAACGAAACGCTCAAAGAAGACGAAGGTTTATGCCCGTCAATGTACAGTTTCCACAGTAGCCCAGAAGAAAAAAACAAACTCTTATTCACCTTAACCCAATATGGTCTGGAAACCACGGTGGACAGAGCAGCCAAGAAGAATAGAATCAGAGAATGGATCCAAAATAGTGTAATAGAAGAAGAAGAAGAAGAAGCTAATGAAGAGGAAGAAGAAGAGGACGAAGAGAACATTAGAATCAAAGATAATCAAAACGGACCGATTGGCGAAAGGGAATCCATAGCAGAAAGAAAAATTAAAGAGATCAAAAATCATCAACACCGAAGGAACAGGAGACACCACCAGGTTAAAAACGAGGTTCCCTATAAACCCCCTGTAGACCCCCGGATTCCATTGGAAAGTCAGAAAACCATTCCTCTGAATCCCAGCAACAGAAATTTCAAAACCAACAATTCTACTGGTGTAAAAACCGTACCAAATTCTTGGTACAAAGTTCCTAATTCTTTGACTTCTTCTGAAAGCGCTTTTAGTAGCGATTCCAGCTTAACTATTAAGCACAAGATAAATATTCAGATACCGCAAACTTGACATTTGACGTCTGACAATTAAGGTTATGTTTATGGAGATTTTTGGAGGTTGTGCTAGTTTGAGACTGACAGAGAATGTTATTTAAACATTTTCTGGATGGTATTTATTTTGGGTAGGAATCATGTGAAGTTAGAGAATGGAAGGGAAGTATACAAATGTCAAATTTTATTATTTTTTTAAACGAAAAGCGTGATATAAATAAAGTTTTTTTTTAATTTTTAATGTTTATGGAAAAACGTTGCGGAATGTTAGAAAATAATGATAAACCTTTTAGAAGGTAGTTTTTATTCAGTATTCCTATTATTTTTATATATTCTATTAATAATAAATAACTTTAAATATATATTTTAGTGAATATATAATTGGCGATAAAATTTGATTATGCTATATTTTATGTAAATTTTCAGAACTGATTATAAATAAACTGCTCAAATTTTGTTTTATTTTCATTCTGGTTTTGTAAAATATTTGGTCGCGTGGTGATAAATCTAGTAAGTATTGTAGATAAAAAAAATTATATAAAAACTTGTATTTGCTATTTATTAACAAATAAAAATTATTTGTGGCTTCTAAAAGTACCGTTTACTTTAATAACCATAAGTAGATTCACTAAAACTAAATATAATATTTAATAGAATAAACACACGTAAATAAAATTAATTAGCGATATCTTATTATTAGCAATAACAATTTCACAAGGTATACATTTGGTAATTGTGCGAACAATTAATAAAGGTGTTCTCAACATCTGAAGGTCCATCTAGAAAAATAAATAAAACGTCATGCAATTAAAAATTAAATTTTACCAATGTAAAAACTTACTAATGGGATACCAGGAAGAGGATGATTTGTCAAAATATGTTCTCACTGTCGATGCAGCATTTCGTATCGCTAGAGGCACGGTAACAGCTAAACACAGGGCTGGTTCTCCAACAGCTAAAATAACATTTAATAAAAACTAAATTAAGTCGTTAGTACAATAGAAAGTACAGACATCATTTATAGCGATTAAAAAAGTAGCGGCCCCAAGTTCCTACAGATCACCTAAAGATCAAAAAATTACTGTCTGAATAAAATTTTCTTTTTTGTATTGTATTTTCTTTCTTATTTAAGAATTTAGTTTAATTTTGAAAAACTCACCTTTAGACTTCAAAACTCCTACAGGATTGGGATTTTTACCGGGAAGCTTTATCCTAAAATCAATAGGAATGTCTTTGGCACCCGGAGGAGTATAATTCCAAGTTCTATTGGACAAAATTTCCCCGTTTTCACCAACTACGACCTTTTCGGTGGTAAAATATCCCATGCCCATGACAAAAGCACCTTCGATTTGTCCAATGTCAATTTCGGGATTCATGCTGTCTCCCACATCTTCCAAAATGTCGACTCTGGTGACCTGATGAAGACCTGTCAAAACATCTAGTTCTATTTCTGCGGCACAAACTGCGTATACCTTGTATCTATTCAGATCTGGGCACACAGGGGAATACCTAAAATAATACATTTTCTTGTACTAAGAAATATTTAAAAAAAAGATACTTGTTACATTGATTGTGCAACCAAATTGATACTATTCTTGTGGCTTTCAGTTACAAGATCTTCCCATTTTGGGTCCTTCAATTTTTCTTTTATGGGCTTCATCCTTTCCAAAAGAATGTCGCATGCTTTGCCTACACCCTAAAATAATAAAAATTTAAAAATTAAAAAAGTTACAGAAAAGTAAAAAAGTGAAATAATAAAGTAAAAAGTAAAATAAATCATAAAGTAAAAAGTGAAAAACCATCAGATAACGAAAAAGCCATAAATTAGGTATCAAATTAAAAAGTAAAAATTATTTAAAAAAATTTAAAAGTTCAGTGATAGTGAGTCGAAGAAAAGCCAAACAAGTGAAAACATGAAAAATTTCATTACGACAAAAAGGCAAAAGCCAAAAAGTTAAAGAAATTTAAAACTAGTTAAAAAGTAGCCAAAAAAGTTAACAAGTTACAGATACAGTCAAAATCAAAATAAGAATTTAATATAAATTAGACAATAATAAAATATAATATTAAGAGTAAAAAATAAAAACGAAATCATTAAAATTACGAAAAAATTGAAAACTCAAAAAGAGTAAAAAACTTGAACACTATAAAATTTAAACATAAAATAAAAAAATCTAACTAAATAAAATGACGTATTTTACCTACCCAACATATTCCTTCACTTGTTAAACTGTTACCGGTCGCGCCTGAATTCGCTCCTATGACATTATTACTGGGTTTCACGCTAATTTTTTCCATTGGTATTCCCAGTTTATAAGCGCAAGCCTGAATAGCCTACAAAATAAGTCTTTTAACAACAATTGTTGCATTATTTTTTCCTTTTAAAAAATATGTTAAATAAAAAAATGCAGTGTTACATGCATAATTAAGGCTATTTCCTTGAAAAAATTATTAATAACTTATTCAGACATCTACTGAATAAAGAAGGACCTAAAAAAGTTCTTTAAAGAACACATTTAAGTTATAGTTCTCTTTTCAAAGAAAAGTTTGCTAAAAATAATTTATTATCATTCACCTTCGTATTCACCCCTTGGCCAATTTCAACCCCTCCATGAGAGATTGCTACACTTCCATCAGCATGATATATGGTGACCATTACACCATAATTGTTGTATAGTTCAACGGCAAACACCATTGGTACAACTGACATACCTTTCTTATTCCAAAGGTTTTTCTAAAAATCAAAATTATTAATTTTATTTCAGTATTTATTGATTGTTACATTCGTAAATTAGTAAGAAAACAGAACACCTACTTCATTAAATTCGTAAATTTCTTGTTTCCTTTTTCTAATATCAGCCCACTCTAAGAAATCATTCATATATTCTATTATTTTTCTGTCAGTCAAATTTTTTATTCTAAATTCCAAGGGATCCATATTTATGACTGACGCACCATGGTCTAATATACTTTCTAACATTCCTAGACCTTCTACTGATCCTAGAAATACAGTAATAGGACAATAAAAACATAGATTACAAAAATTTTAACAAGTGTGTTTTAAGAAAGCTCTACTGTTCTCTATTCTGATGCTTTGTATCACAACCTGGACTAAATCTATTAACATAATAATTATCAACTCTACTTAATTTATTATATCTACTACTGCAATGGGCCATATTTTTATTAGTTTTGTTAATCTTACCTGGTCCTCTAACATAAGCTGCACTCTGCATATCTGATCTCACCGTCTTAGCATTGATATTAAATATATCACTATTATACGGTCCTTCTTGCATTATTTCCAACGTCAAAGGTATGACATCTTCGTTACCTCCCAAACCATGGTTAACATAAAAATCGTTGTTCAAATACTGGATTTTTCCATCTTTACCGATAGCTATCTCATAGTCGCTGGAAATGGCATGCCTTTTTCCAACTATAGCGAAATTCTGCTCCAAAGGCAGCCACATTTTGACGGGTTTTTTAATTTTCACAGCTGCTAGAGCTGCAGCCGTTGATATTTGAGCATTTCGTGTGATTTTTCCACCGAAAGCTCCACCTACACGTTTAACATGGACATTTATCCTGAAAAAATAATATCAAATTTATGTATGTATCTAAAGAAATTTTGGTCATACGTTTATTTACATATTTGATGGTATATTTAATACAACAGAGGCAGCGAATTGGTTTAAATCCATCCATTGGGTACTTGACCAAATGTCTAATCCATTTTCTTTATAAACAACATTGCAACATTGGGTTTCCATGTAGAAATGTGACTGCCAACCCATATCCCAAGTTCCTTTGACAACTTTTGCTACATCACGACCTAGAAGGATGGTTAGTGTTAATCTTTTATCATTATTAATGTACCTAGTAATATAAATGTTTTGAGATGTAATTTCGAAATGTCCAGCTCTGAAATATCTGATGCAAGAAGCGGAAACACCGATGACTTGATTCGTTGTTTACATATGAATTATAACTTATAACCATAAACAGTATTTAAAATTGTAGAAAGTGTATATAGTTTAATAATAAAATCATCACAATGCATCAAAATCATATCAAAAAACTCACCTCTATATTTAGCTTGGTGCACCATATCTTGTTTGACCCTATTCATCTTGTTCTTCCTTAGAATTTCTCTAGTCTCAAACTCAGGTTGGCCTTCTTTCTGATAATCAACTTCTATGAGATCAGCGGCTTTTTCTGCAAGTTCTCTCGATGTTGCCACTACCACTCCGATAGGTTGGAAATGGTATTGGACAACGCCACTGCAAAATAATTCCTCCTCGACGGGATCAGTAGGGAATAGATTTGAACCCAAGGGAGTGAATGTGTTTCTTCCGGGAATGTCGGTCTTGTCGAAAAACGCTATTACACCATCGTGTTCCTGAGAAATAATATAGGATAGTATAAAAGTGAAGATGCTAACATTGTTAATGAATCCAGTATCGAACTTTTAATACATACAGGTGTGGGTAGATAGAACCAGAAAGAGTATGAAAACTGACCAAAAAATAAAAAAATAAGAGTAATAAAGTCCTATGAAAGTGAAAAATGTCCAAACCGAAAATAAAAAAGTTATAATTAAAAAACAAAAAAAGTTACAACTGGAAATCAAAAAATAAATAAAAAATAAGGCAAAAATTAAAAAATGGCGAAAAGGCCAAAAATTTCAAACGAAATGAGAAAGTCAAAAAAAGTAAAAAGAAGTACAAAAAAGTAAGAGAAAGGTCAAAAACAAAAGAAGTAAAAAAG